AACATTTCTGGCACGATACAGTGAAACAGCTTTACTTAAAACGTAATCGTTTGTCCTTTCTATCATTCCGAAGTACAACAAATTCCGAATTCCGTAATGGGTCTCGGATAATGCAATTTCTGGAGAAATATCGAATGCGTATTCACCTTCGTTAATACACAGGTTGGTAGCTGATTTGGTCTGCATTAGATCAGTTTTAGATCTTATCAGAGATGAGTTCTACAGTCAAGAAAGTAAATTATTTCTGCTTTTATTTCCGGAATGTGTAAACGAAAATGAAAAATGTTGCAATTCAACGAACAAGAATGGACGAAATCAGTTATGTCTTCTAACGTGTCCTGTTTCTTCAGTACGTAACCGACTAGGGCCCGCCACAACTTTCTAGCTCTTACTAACGTCTGTCTTTTCACTACCTACCCACAACCTGTTCTTTCATCCATTTACAGAAGTTTATTAGGGAAGTTCCTAGTTGCTCCCTTCTGTCCCTCTTGCATCTTGAATATGTCCTGTGAGTGTAAAAATTTTCCAAGCTCTCTTCGTAATGTGTCCGAGAATTTTAAAATGTCTCCTTCTGAACCTGAACATCTTCGTCTATTTTGTTTCCATTTTTTTTCAAAGTTTATAGCTACCCACATGTTCAATCCATGGAATTCTCTGCATTTTTCTCTAGAAGAACATTACATTTATCTCAAGTCTCTTCTTCATCTGCGAGGAGGTTGATTAATATTCGCTGCCTAGAGGAGGATTGATATTACATAGCATTTCATCATACTTTTCTTTGTTTCTAACGGAATTTTCCGGTTATCTCACACTCAACAAAAATGATAACTAGCATAATGAAGCCAAAGCTAAGTTACATACGTGTATATAACTGCGTTTATATGTTAATATTAGAATCATAACAATCTAATCTGGACAAAAAGTTTTATGAACATCTCTCGGGTGTTGATTTAAAAATGCAACTCTTTTCCTACCCAGAAGTCTGGTGGAATACAATCTTCCTAATACCATTTAGCCTTTTGTCTCATCCAAGCTTAGTCAATATTTAAAGAAATATATTTATCTATGAGTCTGTCTTTTCGACATGTGAATGACTAAATTAGGATATCGGGAAGTTTACATGATTTTTTCTTTCTGTGTTTCCCTTCTTTTTTTTTTTTTAAAAAAAAAAAAAAAAAAAAAATAAGAAAAGAAAAACAGACGAGGATTTCCGAGAAGTCTTTTTCAGATCTCGAAGGTCTCTCTATGTCTACTGACCACATTACGGTAAACACTGACTCAAACGTTCGTCATTCAGTAAGAAGGGAAAAAGAAAATAAAGCTCCAAATAGGATTAAAAATTCCCTGGTAGATATTCTTAAGTCCCGCCTTCGTGAAAATCCGATTAGAATCGTTTTTGATGGCCTGCTTCATATTTTACTGCTGCGACTGTATATTTTTTATTCTATTTTGTTTCCTCTGCCTTCTACTCTTCCCTTATGTCCCCCTCTTCCTTCTCCTCCCCCTCCTCCTCCTCTTCTTCTTAGTGCTGCTACTTTTCTTGCTTTTGTTTTCTTTCCTTCACTTATTCAGGATGTTTTTGACTTCCCTTTTCAGCTTCTATTCGATCCGTTTTCCTTCCACTCCTACCACTGTTTCTTCTTCTTCTTCTTCTTCTTCTTCTTCTTCTTCTTCTTCTTCTTCTTCTTCTTCTTCTTCTTCTAGTACTAATACTAATACTCAACCTATTTCTTCTTACTCTTTTTCTTTTCCTTCTTCTGCTGTTACTATTAAAACTACTACTAATACTCAAACTATTTCTTCTTTCTACTATTACTACTACTACTACAAGTAATACACAACCTTTTACTTCTTCCACTTCTTTTTTCTTCGTCTTCTTCTTCTTCTTTTTCTACTACTACTACTACTCAAACTATTTACTTTCGTCTTCTTTTTCTTCTTCTTTTGCTATTAATACTATTAATACTATTAATACTACTACTGATACTTAAGCTATTTCTTCTTTTCCTACTACTACTACTACTACTACTTTGTGCTATTATTTATCCACTTTTGCTTTTGGAATTTTGTTTTAGTTCTTATTTCTTATCACTTACAGGGTGCGACAGAAATACCTCTCACATATACCCCTCCCAGAGATAAGGTCACCTGGGCGTGGTATAATGGCTAGCAAGCTTGTCTGGCTAACCCTTACGACTGACGAGTGACTTCGATCCTCACTGGGTGCTTCATACTTTCGGCCTTGTGCCACATCTAAGCCGCGCTTAGAAAATCAATATACCTCCTAGAAATACCTCCCACATATACCTCCTAGAAATACCTTCCACATATACCTCCTAGAAATACCTTCCACATATACCTCCTAGAAATACCTCCCCCCCCGACACACATATAACTCCCAGAAATACCTCCCACATAATAGGAAGCTGTCTTCATCTAGCTACTGTCTTACCATTATGTGGGTGGTATTTCTGGGAAGTATATCTGGGAGGTATTTCTGAGAGGCATATGTAAGGGGTATTTCTGCTGCACTGTTTTTATATTCCGTTCTTAATACTTTTTTCTTCTTCTTACTACTACTACTACTACTACTACTACTACTACTACTACTACGACAATTGCTACCAATACTCTGTCTATTCTTTTTAATCTTCTTTTGTTTCTGCTTTTGCTTTTCTTTCTTTTTCTCTTTTGATACTACTACCATTACTCAAACTATTTCTTCTTTTTCCCTCCAATGTATTTTCATTCACCATTTCTTTCTTTTGCCTTTGAAGCATTTTTTTATTTCTTTCATTTCTCTTTTGCAACAATTCTTTCGTCCTTTTTCTTCTTCTTCTTCTTCTTCTTCTTCTTCTTATTATTATTATTATTATTATTATTATTATTATTCCTTTGATTTCTGCTGTGTACACATTTCTTACCGGGTCCCGACCAGAGACCTAAGTCCAGAAATGTTATCATGATATTTTCCACTAATTAATTAAAAAAAAAGAAAAAAAAAGACACAAACAACGCACATATTTTACATAGATAAAGCCATTCGTGAGAAGAATTATTTGTATTTCTTTAAGGCATTGTTTTCCAGGAATCCCTTCAGTGAATCTACAGGAATCTTTTCCAACTAATCCGAGGGCTCCAACTACAACTGGGATTGTCGATGTTCCCATGTGTCACATTTTTGAGATTTCGATTTCAAGGTGCTTGTATTTCAAGGTCCTTGTATAACTTTTAGAAGATTTTCAAAGATACACTGCAGTCTGCAGGGACTGCCATATCAATAAGGGAGGCAATTTTTTTTGTTTGCGGTCTCTAATAACAATGTCTTGGAAGTTAGCTTTGATTGTTCTTCATCCTCATTATCATTAATAATAATAATAATAATAATAATAATAATAATTATAATAATAATAACATTGTTATTAAAGACCACAAACAAAAAAATGCCTCCTTATTGATATGGCAGTCCCTGCTGACTGCAAAATATCTTTGAAGATATTCAAAAAGCTTTCAAAATACAAGGACCTTGAAATAGAAATCTCAAAAATGTGGCACATGGAAACATCAACAATCCATGTTGTAGTTGGAGCCCTAGGATTGGTTGGAAAAGATTCCAGTAGACTAATTGAAGGGATTCTTGGAAGTCCATGCCTCAAAGAAATACAAAAAATTGTTCTCACAAGTACAGCCCACACTTTACGAAGGGCTTTATTTATGCAATTTTTTTTTTGTCAGCGGAAAGTGTCATGACGCCATTTCTAATCTTAGGTCCATGAGGGGGGGACCCGGAAAGAAATGTGTGAACGCCAGAAATCAAAGGAAATAATAATAATAATAATAATAATAATAATAATAATAATAATAATAATAATCGTCATATAATTATTCAGACTAGTAATCTGGTCTTTTTCTCGCCTGTCATATATTGTCTGAAAATATTTTTTACCCATCACTCGATTATTTATTCGAACGATTATTTTGATCTTTGTTGTTTTGATCACAACGTTTCAGATAATCATCTCTCGGGCTTTTCTAATGTCGTTTTAAAATCTGATATGAAGTAAGATCTTTTTTTTCTCTTAATTATTTGCCTAAGTATTTCCGCCATTTTCCTCAAGAAACCTGTCGTTCTCCGGTCTTGTTTAGCATCGTCAGAATGATTACAAATGATTGCAATATATTGCTCTTAGAACTTCCGACAATGAAATTATTGTAATCATTCAATAAACGTCTGACTGTCATGTCCATCACTCACGCTTTGTTCATAACAATAGGTTTTGATGTATCTACTTTGGCAGTTACAAAATAGATTGAATTAAGGTGAATGAAGTGCCAAACATTTTAATCTTTTTAGTAGACATTTTTTTAAATGTTGATATGCGGCAGGAATTTAAGAGTTTATTTCACCTTATTTTTTAGTTAACTTTTTATTATAATTAAAATGAAATTCTCGTTTGTCTTGACCTTACTCGGGATTTGGCAAATATAACGTCTACTCGTCAGATTTTAATTTAAAGATGTTTAAAAGATTATTTTTACCATCTACTAGTGAATTTTGTTGGGATTATATTGAATTTAATTTATAACAATGTTCTATCTATTGGTGTTGATCGATGCAATTTCAAAATTATTTGTATTAGGTTGGTGCAAAAATAATGACGTAATAATGTCGTTCTTTGACGTTAAAAAATACGTTAAAAAACGACATTATTACGTCATTATTTTTGCACCAACCTAATATTATGATATTATATTATAGAAATGCCGCGGCATTTTATGGGCACGTGGTCGGCTGGTTTGAATGGTCGCATTCTGGACTAAGACTCGGGTTCGAATCTCACCATGGTCGATTTGTCAGGAAGGAGACTTACTGATATTATCGGACTAAACGATCAATCCCAGCTTTCGAATTGCAACTTTGAAACGGCCTAAATCTATATAAAAGCAAACGTAAAAATGTGTCATTCTAAATTAACGTGGACCCATTGTTACATTAAAAGTTAAAGCCGTACATGCATTGACAGAAAGAGAAAAGGAGACATAGGCAAAGTATGATTAAAAGAAGAGAAAGCCAGAAACAAAGAAAGAGAGAGAGAGAAAAAGAGAGAGAGAGAATGAGAGAAAGAGAGAGAGGGAGAGAAAGAGAGAGAGGGAGAGAGAGAGAGTGGGATATCTAAAATGAGAGGCAAGTAATTGATACTGGTAAAAAAAAAAAAGACAAAAAATGTGAACGCGAGAGAGAAATTGAAAGAAACATGGAAAAAAAAAGAAAAAAGAGAAGTAGAGAGAGAATAAAAGAGAGAGTGTAAATGAGAGAGCTAGTGAGAAAAGAAAGAGTGCGACAAAGGTAGCGAGACAAGATGAAATAATAGTGATAAAGAAATTGAGAGAAGAAGAAGAAGAAGAAGAAGAAGAAGAAATTGAGAGAAAACCAAGACAATGAGAAAAAAAGGGAAAAAGGAGAAAAGGTAGTGAGAAAGATAAAGATATAAAAAAGTAAGAGAAAATATAAGATAAGAAAGAAAGAAAGAAAGAAATAAAAAGAAAGGAAGAAAGAAAATAAAGCAGAAATAATGAATATCGGGTAAAAAAAGAGGTAAAAGAAAAGAAAGAACAAACAGAAAAGTCAAAGAAAGAAAGAAAGACGGAGAGAAAGAAACAAAGAAAGTAAGTAAAAAGCAAGAAAGAAGTAAAGAAATAGAAAGCTAGAAAGATTGGGGGGGGGAAGAAACAAGTAAGCAAAGAAGGAAAGAAAAAGAAAGAAAGAAGGAAAGAAAGAAAAAGAAAGATTGGAAGAAAAAGAAAGAAGCAAAGAAAAAAGAAAGAAAGAAGGAAGGAAAGAAAAAGAAAGAACGAACGAACGAATAAATGAATGAAAGAACAATGAAGTCGGAGATGCTCTTTACGCGGAAGAATTTTTTTTTTTTTTTTGCTTTAATCCACCTGACGTATAGGCCGAATGACACACATCCAAGAGAAAGAAAGAGAGAGAGAGAGAGAGAGAGAGAGAGAGAGAGAGAGAGAGAAATGGTTTATCCGGCACGAACATCGGGAGGAACATAGGCAAGTACAAAAGAGACATATCATAGGGTGGTCTCAAATACAGATGCTTTTTTCACCCACCTACCTTTGTAGACAGGTAGAGACCCACCCAAATATTTACCAGTGCCAAGCGAGGTAATTATTCACTGGCAAAACTCCCAAAGTATTTCTGCCTTTTGGCGAAATGTGTCGGGATTATTGTCAGAAATTGCAGACGCTTTCGAAGGGTTGGTCATGGCGAACGAGGTCAGATGAGAGAGAAGCAAACACTGGGTCGGGGACGAGACGACTTTTGGAGGAGGGGAAGATACGAATGGAGAAAGAAGGCGAGAGAAAGGACAACGAGGAGACGATGGGAATAAGAGAAAGACGAGGGAGTTTTTCCTTCAAGATGAGGATGAAGACAGAAAGAGGGAAATGAAGAATTAAGATGTGTTAAAGAAGAAGAAAAACAAGAAGAAGAAAGAAGAAGAAAAGAAGAAGAAGAAGAAGAAAAAGAAGGAAAAGAAGAAAAAAAAGAAGAGGAAAGAGGAAGAAGAAGAAGAAGAAGAGGAAAGAAGAAGTAGAAAAAAGAAGAAAAAAAGAAGAAAGAAGAAAATAAAGAAGAAAAAGAAGAAGAAAATGAAAAAGAAAAAACAGAAGAAGAAGAAAAAGAAAGAAAAGAAAAAGAAAGAAGAAAAAGAGGAAAGAGGAAGAAAAAAAGAAAAGGAAAGAAGAAGTTGAAAAAGAAGAAGAAAGAAGAAAAAGAAGAAACAGAAGAAGAAAAAGAAGGAAAAGAAGAAGAGAAAAGAGGAAGAAGAAAAAGAAGAAGAAGAAGAAGAGGAAAGAAGAAGAAAAAGAAGAAGACGGAGAAAGAAGAAGTCAACGAAGAAGAAGGAGAAAGAAGAAGAAGAAGAAGAGGAAGAAGAAGAGGAAAGAAGAAGTAGGAAAAGAAGAAAAAGAAGAAAGATGAAAAATAAGAAGAGGAAAGAAGAAGTAGAAAAAAGAAGAAGAAGAAAAAGAAAAAAGAAGAAAAAGAACAAGAAGAAGAAGATGATGATGATGAAGAAGAAGAAGATGAAGAAGAAGAAGAAGAAGAAAGAGAAGAAGGAGGAGGAACTGGAGAAACGTGGAAGATATTGTTGAGGGAATATGAGGAAAACAAAGAGAGATTGAGGAAAGGAATAAACAGAACAAAGAAGCAAAAAGAAAAAAAAGAAGATGAAAACGCGAAAGAATGAAAGAAGTTAGCAGAAGAAAAAAAAATAAGAAAGATAAGATGAAAGAGATAAAAACTGCACGAAGAATAAAAAGAGGATATAGAAAAAGAAGAACGAGAATTCAAAAGAAAAGAAAAGTAAAAAAGAAAGGCGAATAAAAAAAAAATTCTAGGCAATAAAAGAGGAAAACGAAGGAAACAAAGGGTGAAAAATGAAGTGCAATTTGGGAAAGATGAGGGAAGAAAACGTCAGAAGAAAGAAGAAAAGGAGATGGAGACGAAAGGAAGACGAATGTTTAAGGAGAATGAAGCCTTACGAGGGGCTGCTGGAAAGTTCTAGAAACAAGCCCTTTCCAGAAATCTGACCAAACAATATTTTCAAAGGTTTCTACGTCGAGCCTCGGACCTTTCAGCCTCCAAACGCTGTAATTGTTGTTTTTGTAGAAGAAAAAAGGAAGAAAGAAGAAGCGCCAACCATCCCCACCACCACCCGCAAATAAAGAGGCTCATAAAGAAGAGAAGGGGAATAAAAGAAACAAAAAATATAAGAAAATATATCGAACATAAAAAAAAAAGAATGGAAATAATGGGACAGCATTCGCTAAATAGTTCAAAGAATGTAACCTAACAAGAGAGAATGTCAAAAAGTCATGATCATCAGTGCCATTGGTGATCAGTGAACTTCAGTTAACACACACACACACACACACACATATAAGTGAACATTAGAAGTCAACACTTAGAGACGACAGTGCTCTTTCATGCTACGAGGAATGTGGCCTGACGATTGCGTCTAGCATGAAACAGCCTGTCGCATCTAAGCGTTGACTTCAATGTTCATATATATATATATATATATATATATATATATATATAATGTATATATACTGTAAGCAAATGATATAGATCCGACAGAATGAAGAAAAATTTGGAAAAAAACAAACCAAAAATCATAAAATGCAATTATGTTGTTTAAAAATGAATGAAATGTCGACGTCTGACGATTGCGTTAATAAACCTTCTTCAGGACAATATTCAAAAATACCTGTCAGTTCAATTTAAAAGACGTTGACATAAAAAACAAGTCTTATCCAAAACAGATAAACAAAATTTATATATAAATATATATATATATATATATATATATATATATATATATATATATATATATATATATATATATATATATATATATATAAATTTCTTTTCTCTTTATATATATATATATATATATATATATATATATATTTGAAAAAAAAATTTGGAAAAACAAAAAAAATCCTTAAATGCAATTATGTTGTTTAAAATGAATGAAATGTCGACGTCTGACGTTTCGGTTTAATAAACCTTCTTCAGGACAATATTCATTAAAATACAATTCAGTTCAATTTGACAAAGACGATGGACATAAAAAACAAGTCTTATATATATATATATATATATATATATATATATATAACGATATTACATTGAAAGCATGTCAAAATCGCTACATTAATTGCAGTCATGTTTCGATGCGTATCAATGCATCTCATCAGGCGATTATAAATTACTGGCGAGTGAACGATTTATTTAGATTTAAAAGCTAAATACAACCTCTTTTTACGAAAAAAGAAAAAAGTGTGGCGTTATAAGATCTGTGGACTTTACTCAGATCAACCAATCAAATATGACCTAAGTTAAATTTAAACTAAGCGAAAAAGCAAAAAAAATTTTATTATTTTTTATGAATGGATCATGAACGTGAGACTGACACTCAATGGCAGCACAGACGTTAAACAGGTGAGGATATTAATGGACACATATTATTGCTCTACTTCCTACTGGACCCTCTTTTTAATCAAATGTTACGAACGTTAGAATTTTACTCTATTCTTTCTCATCTAACCTGGATATATATATATATATATATATATATATATATATATATATATATATATATATATAAAATTCTCTTTTGAGTTCTGGGTATGACGATAAACTACGTCCAACAGCAAGACCTCTGATCAGGAGGCTTTAAGGAGCGTGGAACCTCCTCTTAATTGCTGGTGTTCCCAGGTCCACTCTCACCCGGGGGGGGTAGCACCTGTTGGGGCCCCAGCTATGGGCAAATCGTTAACCCCCAAACTGAGGTAAAAAGCATTATGAAAGTGTAAAAATAGGTTTTAATACCAGAAATAATTTGTAAATAATTATTACTAGAAAAAAATTTTTGGAGAAAAAAATATTACCAGTATTGCGTTTTTGAAAAAATATTACCAGCTATACGTTTTTGAAAGAATAATATTACCAGCTATACGCTTTTGAAAAAACAATATTACCAGCTTTTCATTTTTGAGGAAAAAATATTAACTGAAATAGATTTTTGACAAATCAAAAATATTACCAGAATATAAAAAAGTTGTTGGCATTAAATGGCCATTGAGGTTGATATGCCTTAAAACAAAACAAAACAAAACAAAACAAATTCTCTTTTAAGCATGTTTAATTAAATAAATTACAGATATTATTTCTGCTTATTTTTAACAAAATCCGTTCATACTCACGAATAATCTTCCGTGTATTGTAATTAAATAATGTGAGAAATGTTTTATAACTATAAAATTCGTATGTATGTATGTATATATGTATGAATTTATTTCACCCCAAGCAAGGCAATAAAGCCACTAATACACAGAAGTTTACTGAGTTTGAAAGAATATAAGAAAACGAAAACATTATTAAGACGTCGAATATTGCCGCACCTGATCTGGTGCTCCTGCTATATATTTAGATATTTTGGTTAAAATCTAATGAAGAATCTTCAATGTTATTGGTCCGGATCTGGTATCTCAACTTCAGCCAATTTTACCGCCGATTTTCTGTGTCTTTTCTATAAATACTTTCATGGTAATTGTACAGATGAACTTTACTTTATGGTATCTAGGCTTTATGAATGTAATTGCAGTACTTGATTGGCAGTAAGGTCTCATCAATTTACAGTTGAAATGGCTAGCTGTAACCGTAAATTCTATGCTAACAGTTTCTTCTGTCGCACTTCTCACTTGTAGAACTCTCTTCCGGCTTTTGCTTTCTATCCAATTTTGATAAGAACTCTCACTCTTATCTTGTGCCTAACGACGGAAACATTAATGGTAATATTAGCTGTTTCTTTATAAGGAAACATTCAGCATGAATTGACCGAGAAGCCAATGTAGCTGACGTAAATATCTATATATCTTTCTCCTAAAACAATTTTTAAGGATAATAGGTTTCTCAAGTCCAGTACTAGTTAATGTTCTTTCCAGTAATGATGAGTGCTTTCTTTCCTCGCCTTTTGATTGGGGTAGTGTGGAACGGCAGAATGTTCATTGGGTCACTAATCTCTCTTCGGGATATCTGGACAACCCATTTTAGTTGTTACTGCTGTTGGAAGTCCTAAAGTGATGTGGTTTCTATTATCTAGTGTAGGTCTTTGTTTGTCATTCTGTAACTTCAGTCATCGTGATTCGGTAAAGGATGGTCCTCGCCTAGACCTACAGGCTTTATTTGCTCGAAGCCATTTGGAACCATCAATCGATGAAAGCAGTTTTTGACAGTTTAATTAGCTCTGAACGTAGTTAACGATGTGCGTTGCAACAATAGAACAATGAAAACAAATCTAGCAAGAAAAGATGAAGAAACATCGAACGCGAAAAGCGAGGAACATAAAATAAAGCAAAAGCGTCTACAGTGATTCCCATTTTCGCGATTTCGATTTGTAATGTTTCCGTTTCCTGCGGTCAATCTCCAAAATAAAGAATTAATAAGATTTACTTAATTAGGGGCAAGAGCAGTGATGCCTACATTTCGGACAGGTGAAAAAAAGAAAATGGAAAATGATCTTTTTTCAAGTGTAAAAGTGAAATGTACTCAACTTAAAATAAAAAAAAGAAAAAAAGGTAGAAAATGAGAAGAAGAAAAACACGCCGAAGTATATAATCAAAAGAAAGAAAGAAAGAAAGAAAGAAAGAAAGAAAGAAAGAAAGGACGTAGAGAAAGAATATGGAATAGTCCGAAATAGCATTACAATATTGCAGGGAGGTAGAAAGATGACGGGAAAGAAAAAAAAGCGTGAATGAGAAATAATGCAATAATGAAGGTGTGTGTGTGTGTGTGAAAAGAACGAAGAAAAGAAAGAAAGAAAGAAAGAGTGAAAGGACGAAGAGAAAGAATACGGAAGAGTCCGATATAGTATTAGAATAATGGAGGGAGGGGGAAAGATGACGAGAAGGAAAAAAAGCGTGAATGAGAAATAATGAAATAATGAAGCGAGTAAAAATAACGAAGCAAAGAAAGAAAGAAAGAAAGAAAGAAAGAAAGAAAGAAAGAAAGAAAGAAAGAAAAATGGAAGTGAGAGAGAGAGAGGATGAGGTAAAAAGAATATGGAAAAGTCATAAAAACCATGAGAATAAATGGAGGGTGAAAGCGAAAAGAAAAGAATAAAAGAGAAATTTCGAAAAAAAGAAAATTTAAAAGATGTCAATAGAAATTAAAAATGAATGTTAGGGAAATACCAGTTGGCTAATACAAAAAGGGAGAAGGGGTAGAGAGAGGATAAGTGCGTATGAGATAAGCGGTAAAGAAGAACAAGAAGAAGAAGAAGAAGGAATATGAGGAGGAAAAATGAATCGAAATTAAGAAGAAGAAAAAGAAAAGAACGGAAATAAGAGGGGTGTAATTAGGGATAGAAATTTAAATAATAATAATAATAATAATTAAAATTATAATAATAATAATAATAATAAGAAGAAGAAGAAGAAGAAGAAGAAGAAGAAAACTAAAAAGTATGGAAAAGAAAACAATAGTCAGCACAAGAAAAAAAAAATGGGGAACGAAGCTCATAATGGGCAAGAAGAAGAAGCAGATGAAAAAGAAGATAAAGGAGAGGAAAAATAGAGAGAAGAAAAAGAAGAAAAAGAAGAAAAAGAAAAAAAGAAGAAAAAAAAAGAAAAAAGATGAAGAAGAAGAAGAAGAAGAAGAAAAAGAAGAAAAGGAAGTAGTAGAAAAGAAAAGCGGGAGAAGATGAAAGTTAAAAAGAAAGTGGAGGTTAAAACGAAGAAATCAGTATATAAAATAATAATAATAATAATAATAATAATAAGAAGAAGAAGAAGAAGAAGAAAAGAATAAGAAGGAGAAATGAATCGAAATTAAGAAGAAGAAAAAGAAAACAACGGAAATAAGATGGGTGTAATTTGGGATAGAAATTTAAATAATAATAATAATAATAATTAAAATAATAATAATAATAATAATAATAATAATAATGATAATAAAAAGAAATATGAGGAGAAATGAATCGAAATTAAGAAGAAAAAAGAAAAGAGCAGAAATAAGAGGGATAGAATTTTAAATAATAATAATAATGAAAAGAAGAAAGAAAGAAAGAAAGAAAGAAAGAAAGAAAGAAAAAAGAAAGAAAGAAAAGAAAAGAATTGTTAAAAAATTAAGAATATGGAGTGGAGGAATAAATGTAGAGGAAGAAGAGA